TTTGAACTTCTCCAGGATGCATATATTGGAGTCAGATATTCATTATCATCGTTTGTTTCAGGTTACAAGGTTTGTATTTGCTAAAGTCCGTGTATGTTTTCAAAATTTTCTATTAAGTCAGAATTGTAACAAAATGCAGTATGCCGTGTTGCATCATTTTTGTGAAAATCCCTTGAGTATCCTCACAACGGTCGAGCCTGAGGAAGCGCATTCGAGAATTGAATTGTTGACTGAAAGTCACATCGAAATTATTCGGATGCAACTGTCATTTAGGGAGTGCGTAAAATCAGACATCGAAAATTCTTGTTCCCCTCGTTTTGTTTTGAATTGAAACGTAATTATTATTTGAATTCGTGACAGGTACGTTGAATCTCAACTTCACCAACCGAAAGAAGTACATAAATTATTGTGCGACAACGATTATGTTAAAACTTTGCTGCCGGTTTTCTTGCGTGATATGAAAAATTATCATCAAAAGTTTGGTGCCACGTTTGAATTAGCATTCTTTTCACAAGAATGTCTGAGTTATGATTCGAGTCATACAAAAATGAGGCATGAATTGTATTCACTTGCGCTGAAAAAACCTGGTCTAGGGGAAAGTTGTTTTATTCTGAAATTAGTTGATGATTTAATGTGCGTATCAAAATCCATCATTCCAACTTGTCGAAGTGACTTATTACAAAGATTCTAAGAAAAGGTAACATGTTTCTAATACCAGGAAATTGGAATATAAAGATCTCGGAATTCTACTTCGAACATGGATCGACTATCTTGAAGACGTTTCTAATGTTTTAGGGATCATGACTCAAGAATGTCAAGATATTATTGGATTTCTTGATCAATTGGAAGTAATCTATGAGAATGAGTCGGAATCGCTAAGTACCGAAGTTAAAGGAAAATATCGAAAACTAAAAACGGAACTTCGAAACTACATGCTGATTTTCTTTGAGTGAGTGCCCCATTGGAAATCGATTCTACTTCATCCATGTTAAATTTTATGATACTCATTCCTATTGATTAATTTATTCAGAGAAAACCTTCGGCATTATTCTTCCAACACTCTTTATGAAATATTTTATTATCAAGATTATAGTGTCTTAGAATCAGTAAGAAAAAAGTGTTTCGTTTATTATTTTTTGAATTTAAAACATATATGATCATAGCGTAACTTATAATTCATAAAAAAGGTATTAACTCCGAAACCTCGACAAGCGATACATGCGGCACTTGGACTTCCTACAGACTACATCAAATGTAATTGTTGTGAGTTTGATGAAGATGACGGTGATTGTTTAGACCCTAGAGAGCAAATTTTATCGACCCATCCGGATACTTCGATATTATATAAATTACATTTACAATGTGGTAAATTAATTAATATATATGATTGGCTGGAATCATTTGAAAGTGTGATCTCCAGAGATAATTTGGAAAACGGGAAAATCGATGATAAAGAAGTCCGGTAAGCGCATTCAAAATTGGGTTCTTTGTAGACATCTACATCGATTACCTTTTCAAATGAACCGGTTCGATAATAACATGTATAAATCTAATTAACATCTCCACATGTTTAACTAATTAGTGCAAGGTTCATCAAAGGGTATGAGGAACTTAAAATTCTCGGGATAATTGGACCTACGTCAAGGAAAAAAGATCATCTCAAAAGAGTGGCATGGGGGACCTCGTAATAAATTAAGAAACTAGCGGAAAGGAAATAATTCATAATTGATTTTGATTACATCTTAATATTTTATGACGATTTAATTTTATTACAAGAGTTTTGTATATTTTTTGTTTTTTTTTTTTAGGCACTATATTAATGCTGTTTTAATCTAGATAGATAGATACCTTTGAATTACTGTATTTTCAATAGAAATTAAAGTAAATTCAATCTACATATACCAAATCGGTTTGCATAAATTAGGATAATGACCTTTTATTGAAGAAACTTGATAATTGTTTTGATAACTGTCTTTTTATATGATCTTTACATTGTTGAGGTGTCCTGGTCTTGACTTCTTGGGAAATTAGTTTCCATTTTTTTCCGTACTTTTTAAATGCTTTATCAAATGCTTCAACCTCCTCTTCATTCCATTTACCCTTATTGATGTTAGGATTGCACGCGACAATATATTGAAAATGAAATTTCACGTTGTTAACGGTTCTATATGGAAAATGCTTCATGATTATATCCCAATTTTCACCATATTCTTTAATTGCTTGGTAGAGCGTATTGTTCTCCTCTGCAGTCCACTTTTTGTTAACAATATTGTATTCATAATAGCTTTGAATGCATTTTGCTGGTCGGTTCAAAATATCGGACAATTCTGTCCACTTCTGTCCATGCTTATCAACAAGATCTAGAAGCAGTTTGTGCTCATCATCTGTCCACCGACCACGTTTTGTTTTAGAAATAACTTGCCATCGATTGTAAATTTGCACGTTATCCCTATTTTGCAATAGTTTGGATATGCTAATCCAATCTCCGACCCCATATTTCGAAACTCCCCTCTTTAATATCTCGTCCTCTTCGCGAGTCCATGGATTATGATATGAAGATCTCTTGCGTTTTAGTTGCAGATACGTAAACTTTTGACTCAACGATGCAGGCGACTTCGTTGATTGAAAATAATTGAGAGAAATATAGGTCCACTTTGTTCCATGTTTTTCGACTGCCTCTAGCAATTGGCTCTCTTCTTGCCCGGTCCAAATATATTTTCGACCGAGGTTTCGTTTAATCTCTACAGCTTTCTGCAAATTTGGATCAGCAGAAAACTGTATTACTGCTATTCCGAATAATCCGATTGATTTATCGAAAGAAGTACGATTGCCTCTAGACAGATGCCGTAAGGTAAAAATTTTCGAATTAATTAATGATAACATTTCCCGAAATTTTTTTTTTTAAAGATTCTCGCTAAAACGGGAAAACTTTTTGCCCATCACTTATCATTACACTATATGTACTATGGTGGATAATATATTAGACCGAATTTGCCGTATCGTATCCGATGTAGATGTTCATTGAGGATATGTATCCGATGTAGATGCTCATTGAGGATATGTATCAGTTTTTTCATTATATCATTATCATTATCATCTACCCGCCACACGCCATTGACTTATATTCATAATGATATAAAAAATATCAAAGGAATAAAGATTCCGGCATTTCTTGTCATAAAAGGATAATTTATTTATAATACACCTGCATGGAAAAAAATATATTTTTTGACAGCACTCCCTAGTAGATTTTTATTTTAAAATTGGAAAACCTCTTAGTAATTTGTATATCAAACATTTGTATTACAAACTGCAAAGAGGATGAAGGCGCACGTGCAAACTGACGGATCCATTGTTTTGAATACAAATTTGGGATTTTGTATTTTATAGAACTTAAAAAAGTTCTAAAGCATTTTTTCTACTCCGGTTAGGTTTTATAAATAATATTACCAATTGCAATTGTAAAATACGGTCCATCTTTGTTAGCAAAAATTCCAATTGTTGTATCCGTACTTCCGCAGAGAACGCAGCGGTTGATTGTATTAATTAAAAAATAAATTGATATCACACGTGCAATCTATAACCCGTCGGCTAATATGTTCGGCCGAGGCAGGTCACTAATGTAATTATTTATGCAGGCGAATGTGTATATAAACCAATGTTTCGTGTTTGATCAAATATTTTAAGTAAAAAAAAAAATAAAAAATTCCAATCGCCACCCGAAATTTGAGTCTGGCAAAAATGGCCGCAAGTTCATTTCTCACACGTCAATTGTCACATAAAAAAATACACAGTAAAATAATATCGACACCAGTAATAGTTATTCATAAGGATGACAATGGTCTCCTTGAAGAGCGGATAGAAGATCAATCCGACTATGCATCCAACTTCACTGTATCCACATCGCCATCACCGTCTCCTTCACCCATGATGCCACCAATAAAGTCGTTTAATGATTCTAAAGAAGAAGACCTCTCTTCTGCTTCCTTGCCAAATCTCTCTCTAGCAAGTTCTTCTTCGGAAAACTCGTCTGCTTTGAAAGCAGACTTACTTTCCACAAGACGTCTCACCGTACACGAACTTACGGTTTCTGACGGCGAACCTGCAGCCTTAAATCAATTAAACATGTTGAAACAAAGTGATCGTGATGGAGCTACTTTTACTACGCCTGATGATTTGCTGCTAACTCCCCAATTGAGTAGCACTGAAGTCTCCCAAACGACCACCGAATCCTCTATCTCAGTTGGCATGACCTCAAGTAAATATGAATCTGACTCGACTCCCCCTCGGTTCGTCTTCAAGAAACCGGGTCGTCGAAAATCCTTCCTTAAGGGAATAAAAGAACACGTGTTTTCAAAAAAGTCAAAGAGTTCCCAAAAATCCTGGTATTATTCAAACAGGAACGTTAACATTGAGAAGTATGGTAGATGGGGTAAGGTGCTCGGTTCTGGTGTGGGTGGCCAGGTGAGACTAATCCACCGTCTGACCGA